GAACATGTAAGACTAATTATTACAGAGGATACACGTGAAGGGGATGATTATCAATGTCAGTGATTCCCAGCACAGCTAAACCACTTGTTTATTCAAAGTTTTTTAAATGGTATGCTAAGTACTGAATATTTAAAAAGAAACCACTGCTTTGCTTATATTGTCCCTGGATTCCAGTGAGGAAACATTGTGTGTGAAGACAAAATGTGGCCTTTACTGCACATACTGACAGCAACAAAATCCCATGATGATGAAATAGATGGTTCCCTCTTGCACCTCTGGACTTTCTCAATGTTTTTAGTGAACAGTTAATGAATTTTGTTCACACTTGCGGAAGAAAATATGTGGCAAAAGAAAAAGTGAAAAAGTCAGCATGCACTTTTAAGCTTTCCTATCTTCCTCTAATTCACTTAAAAGCCAGGAGCAGGTCAGCCAGGCCAGCAGTGCAGCAGACACTGGCACAGAGCTGGCAGCTTCTGATCCTGCTGTGGGACTTAGAGCAACAGTTTTGTCATCAGGAAGTTCTCTTTGCTTTTTCATTTGCATTAATCCTCTTCTATGCTTGATTTAGGGCTCCAGTGATACTTTGTCCCCTCCCTTGTGTTTGATGCTGTCGTTGGATCTACGGTCCATCCTCAACAGTTCACAGTTTTGTATTGGTAAAGGGCCTGAAGATGGTCCTGCCTTTGTGCTGCTCCTCTCCCTGCTCCCAGTCACTGCGGGGAAGACATTTGCATTCTGATTGCTTTCTGATGTTTAAAGCAGCCCACACCTACTCCCTACAGCAATCTGTTTACAGGCTTTTCAAAAACGAACTTACTGAATATATTCTTATAAGCCTAATTTGCATACAATTTGTACTACACTTAATTTCTCTCCCATTCTTATCTCCCGTTTCCCTGGGTAATTGAGAGATGTCTAAGTAGTTCTACTGACAAGTGTATTAAATGTTTTGGACTCTTGCTATAAATAGGGTTCTTTTCCACTGTGAAAACAAAAAGGCTGAAATGCCTTTTGTAAGGCTTTTGGTTTGATGAGTAGCACTTTTCTTGAACGTGAAACTCCACACTTTGAAACAAAGCCTGACCAAGCAGATTTAGCACAGAATTGTCCAAAGCTGTCTTCCTTCCCAGTGCCAGGAGCAATTGGACTCTCTAGTTGTGCAGGTCTCCATTAGGAGAAAATAGTTGGTGGATCCACATTGCCTAATATCCCCAATTCTTCACCATTAGGCTTAATATATATTAAAATATCTGAAATGCTGTGGCATCTATTATAAAACAGCTTCCTCCTTTGTCTGCTTCCATGTGTCTTGTAAATTCTGTTTCCTCTGCTAAGGCAGATCCAGCTAGAAAGTGCTTTAATCCCAAGATCAAAATTCAACCCTTGACTTATAAATGCCTTTTTTTTTTCTTTTTTTCTTTTGGCATTAATTCAGTTAATACATAACTGCAGAGACATTAAGCATGATCTGCCAGGAATATATCACTGCATTCAACATTATTTTAGATATACTTGTATCTAAAACAGAAGAGAATTCATGTCTGGTGAATTATCAGTTTACTAAGCCTAGATCCGATATAGTATGAAATCTTTTTATAATCAAAATAATCATCCTGCATATCAAATCCACTTTCCAAAATTATTTTTGAAATAAAGTAGTTAGAGATGTCTTCCAAGATAAAGAGCCTTGAGTGAAAAAGTCAGTAAGTATAATCACAGAATGACAGAGTGGGTCAGGTTGGAAGGGACCGCAGTGGGTCACTTGGTCCAACCTCCCTGCTCAGGCAGGGCCATCCCAGAGCACGTGGCACAGATTGCATCCAGATTGTTCTGGAGTAGCTCCAGTGAGGGAGGCTCCACACCCTCTCTGGGCAGCCTGTTCCAGTGCTCAGTCATTGCACAGTAAAGAAATTCTGCCTCATGTTCGGGTGGAATTTCCTGGGCTTCAGTTCCTGCTCATTCCTCTTGTCCCATTCCTGGGCCCTCCCTGAGCAGATCCTGGTCCATCCTCTGCCCCCTCCCTGCAGACATTGATAGACGTGGATGGGGTCCCCTCTCAGTGTCTCTTCTCAAGGTTGAACAGCCCCAGCTCCCTCAGCCTTTCCTCATAAGAGAGATGCTCCAGTTCCTTCATCATCTTTGCTGTGCTCACTGGACCTGCTCCAGGATCTCCACATCCCTCCTGTCCTGAGGAGCCCAGAACTGGACACAGTGCTCCAGGTGTTCCTCACTAGGGTTGAGCAGAGGGGCAGGATCACCTCTCTCAACCTGCTGGCACTGCTCCTCCTAATGCACTCTGGGACACCATTTGCCTTCTGGGCCCCCAGGGCAGCAGGGGTTCAGCAGGACCCCCAGGTCCTTCTCCACAGAGCTGCTCTCCAGCAGGTCACCTGTGCTGGTGCCTGGGGTTATTCCTCCCCAGGTGCAGGACCCTGCACTTGCCTTTGTTGAACTTCAGACAGTTCCTCTCTGCCCATCTCCAGCCTGCCAAGGTCCTGCTGAAGAGCTGCACAGTGTGTGAGGGGCATTGGAACCCACTGGAGAGAACTCATCCCCTCACAGCAGGTCAGCTGCTGATGCTTTGGAATGTTACCCATAAGTACATTACTTTCTAATTACATATCCAAAACACCAGTTCAGGGATGACAGGAACATAAGTCTTTAGTGAATTGTATGGAAGATTAATCGTTGTATTAAGTAGCACAGACAGTAATCCCTGCTAAGTAAGAATTCTATCACAAGCAAAAAAGGGAATAGACTCTAATATTTGGAACATGATTAACCATCACCCTGTAAATCAGCATATACTAGTCCCCCAGCTCCTTATATAATCCTCCATCTTCCCCTTTCAGCTGATTTTCTGCTACACTTACAAGCACAGAAAAGATCTCACCATTTCATTTAGGTTTTCACACAGCCCGTGGAGCTGTGGAGCTTCCATAGGTGTAGCTGTGATCAGCACACACCATTAGAATTATCAGAATTGCATTAGGCAGTTCACAAAAAAGGAACTTATAGGTTCAGAAAAAAGGCCAAGACATACAGTATGTGATGTATTATGTTACTGCCTTGATCCCCTGAAGGTCACAGCAAGAGCACACAGCTCTGCTGGTGTGGGGGGGACGGTTATATTGTTGCAAAATTTAATTTTGCGAGACTTTGGGTCACTCCTGAACTCCAGTACATTTTATAGTTAGCTATATTTTAATTACATTACTTTAACTTTGGAGCAAATAAACTCTCTTGTTATACTCTAATCAGGTCATCATAAAAGAGCCAAAAGCAAGACCTTGCTGAAAACCAGAAGCATCTGAAAGGGCACAAATAGCATAAAAACATCTTATACAGAGCAGAATATTAGATTAGCATTTTATTTTGGAAATGGGCACTGTAACGTGAAAAAAGGACTTTGTTTTTCCTACTTGTCATTTCTAATTGCATCAACCTGCAAAGATTTCATTGTATCATGAGACACTGAGATACATTATGGTTCTAGTTTCAATTACAGCCTCCTCACAATCTTCCAAATGCTCTCCTGAAAGCTGGACAAACCCTCCCCAGCTATGATCCCCAACTAATAGATAAGTCACAAAAAATCTGCTATTTGGATTTCACACCTTTCCTGATAATCCACTAAATATTATGGCTATAGTTTACAAAGAAGCATATCATTATTCAGCAGGGAAATGTGTTGTCCTGTGGATATATGGAACATTCCAAATAGCAAGGATTGGCTTGCTGGTGTGAGCTAAGGCACGATGCCTCAGATGTTATACTCCATAGTATACACACAGTATGTCTTGTCAAGGAAAGAAGGAACTTATGCTCCTTTTACAATTTATGCCAAGTTATCATCATTAAAGACTGAAAGAGAAATAGTTAGGTGCTCATACAGCCCAACAGTTTCTATATACTTTAGGGCACAAAGTTGCATGAGGGCCATAGCTGCCATCTGTCACTAACTGAGGTTCTCTGGATACATGCAAAGGAGGGAAGTGAAACTCAAATTCAATGGGTGTGATTCACTGGCAAGTCTGCAGTCCAGGCTGTTTGTTCCTGTTACTGCTGCCTTTACTAAAGTTGTAAAGCATCTGAGGTTATAAAACAGAAATATGAAGCTGAAGTTACTATTAAACCAATGTTGATGAACAGACTTTTAGAAAGTTAAATCATAACACCTAGTCTTAAGTAAAGTGTACTCGAGAGAGCAAATGGGTAAAGGTTTTGTCTGTGCTGGTTATTTTAAGCAAGAATAGCACGAAGATATATAGAAAATCTCCCTGTCTTCAGGAAGCAAGTTGGATATCAAAAGACAGTACTCACTCTAACTAAAAATAATGTTGGTCCATCCAAGAGTCCTAAAAAAGCTACTTCTGAGTTATTGCTCATCTCACAGCATAATGAGCCACACAGAACCAGAGTATGGGACAGATGTAACGACCAAACCTCCTCCTACCCTTTATGCAGAGTCAATACCACCATGTTTCTACAGTTCAGATTAATCAGGCATTTCTTGTTTAATCCAAAAACAAAGCTTGCCCTTACACTCACACTTGTAACTCTTCATAATGCACATTCTGGGTTACACACTTCTACTGAAAGTTCTGATCCTATTTTGAAAACGAAACCCATGCAAATTAAAGTGCAAGCAAATTCTTCAAGTTCAGTGGCAATCCACTACCACCAGTGGGTAAAGACTGATGTTCTTGGACAACTGACTAGCACCCAGAGCACACAACACCCAGCTCACAACCTGATAATCAAGGGCAACACTATCAATCAGAATGAATTTGTCATACCCATTTCAATTTAATTAAGAAGTTGAACTGATGAGACTATTGTGACAGCAAATGAGAACAGCAACAGTTATATGCCAGGAGAACAGGCATAAGAACAATCATATGTTCTTATGCAGCTACAGGGTATTCAATACATCTTCCCAAATTACAGAGAGTGTGGTGATGGTGGAAACAAAACAGAAAAAAAGGCCTTACACCTACCTCTCTGTCTTTGCTGGGTCATGGATTCTCATGCTGCCAATGAGCTGGGCCATGTTACTGCATCCTGAGAAGAGAAGAGATCGTGTTCTCCTGACCCCGGCTGATCTGCAACAACACATACAACAGTTCAAGGTTAGATTTGTATGGGCCAAACTTCAAACTGCTGAGGTGTTCTTTGTATGGAGCATCCAGCTTTGGAGATAAAGGTATTTTAGTCAGTGCCTCTTTAAATTTACATGTTTTTAAAGTAAAACCAACCGGTTTTGTCAATAATACCACACCACATGTTTGTTGGTTTTGTTTTTTAAATCTGTGTAATATTGGAATAATTGTATTCTTCTGAAATAACTGGTGGCTTCCGGAGCATTCAAACAGCTTTTCCTGCAGCTTAGTTACATTAACATTTTCAAAGAAAACTTAATAATACAGGCTGGATGTTTTTCAGTATCAAAAGGAATCAATTCTCTGTTTAAATACAAATGACTAGTGTACCTGTATATAATTTACACAGCTATAAGTTAATAAATATTATACTTAGTGTGACTTTGGTTATTTATGGGCAGTAAGTGTTCCCAGGAAAGGTATTTCGAAACTGGGAATCCACATAAGCACCACAAGGAATGAATAATGCATTTGAAATAGATGTATTTGACACAAAAGAATAAGCTGGTTCTTGACTTTCACAGTTGAGAGGAATATGGACATTTGAATTTGTATCTTCATTCCTTATCTTTTGTTTTATTGAAATCACAATCAGTGTATCACATCTCAAAAATCCTTCACTCTTTCTCAGCTATGAAGTATAGTTTAAGCACAAACTTAAAAACAAATCAGAAATAGCAGACTACTAAAATGATCATGTTATGTATAATAAATGTACATTCAGAAAGACCTTTCTGTTATTGAGAACATAAACACAGTACAAAGATCATGGGTCTTGTAGAGGTCATTCTAAGTAAAAAAAATGACAACAGATGATCCAGGAAGGCATCTCCAGGTTTCTCCTTGCGAGTTAGACTTACTGAAATAATCCCTGACAACACTGACATTACACCAGAGGGTCAAGCATATTTGCTTTGCACGCTCAAGTCTGGTGACTAATCTTAATAACTGACTTTTATTCACATTACTGGGCTCAACTGGACACCAACATTTAACTCTGCAGCTGGATTTTAGATCACACCACTGAAATCAGAAGGGGGGCATTCACAAGTATTATTACATCAACATTGAAATTATGGCAGCAAAGATACTCTGGATTTTCTCTACCAACCACACAATATTCACTGTACAGACTGCAGTTCCAAAGGTAATGGAACCATTTATTCTACCTTTTTGCAGCCAGTAACAACGCAGAAACTTTCCTTCTCCTTGATTTTCTGGGGTTTTTTTAGGAAGTGTCGAAAGGAATTTTTAAGTGCAAAACCAATTGCAACTGCTTAGGCTAACACATGGGAGAAGCAAAAGCTTCAACTGGCACCCGACCCAATCAAATCTATAATCACAGATTCTAGGAAGCACAGCTCAGTGTGTTTTATTACAGAAAGGATATACCAAGTCCTCGGAAGTTTATTTCCTTTTTTAAATAAATAAACATAACAGAATTCTGGTGGGCTGAGCAGTGCAAACCACTGAGCATTGACAGGAAACCAGACAAGCTGTAAACAAACAAGCCCACGCTCTCAGCATAGCTTGACGAGACTGTCCAACTTGCATCAACTGGAAAGCCACTGTTACTGAAATCCCATTAGTTTCTTTTCCACTATAAATAAGACACGGTGAAACTGCTTTATACTGAAAAATTAATTAAAGTATCAGCATAATTGACATAATTCCTGTAGAAGGGACACTTTTGATTGATTTTAACAACAGATCACATCTTTTGAGAGGAAACCTACGTAAAGACATGGACAAGATTTCAAATCCGTTTTAAAAAATCTTTTAAATGATTATGTTAATGTCTTACTTTACTCTCTCAGCAATATTAACAATGTAATGAATTGGAAAAGTAACTTCAATTTTATAGCTCTATTTGAAGGTGAAAGGCAGGCTTTGTGCAAACATTAGGCAGTTTTAAGTAAGCCCTATATCTGTGTTAATGAGATTACATCATTAAATACTCCACCCACACAGTCTTTTGCTGGTACATCAAGAAGCTGACAGTGTGAGAGACCTTGGAAAGCATTGACAGTCACCAGAACAGCATTGCAGAAACCCCTGCTGCAAAACTACAGTGGAAGTATAACCAAGTCAGTAAAAAAGACTTTGTGTTTGTAGAAAGAAGGGAATTTGGGAGTTAAAATTCTGGGTCCCTCTGCAGTGAAACCCTTTAGCATGTTGCCAGGGATGCCTGCACAGAGACAAAGCACTGACTTATGCTGTTACTCGGCTGGTAGTAGTTGTGATTTGCATCTGTTCTTAGCTGAGGGGAAAGAACATAGGGCAGAAAGGTAATCTGTTATCAGCAGCCAATTCTGCTCATCTAAAAAGCTTACATAACACTGCAGCAAGTGCCTGGGAAGCCCTGGGGAAACACTGATAAATGATATCATGATGATCCCAAAAGAACAAAGAACTGACATGACTCCTGCTGGAAGAGAGACTGATTGCCCAGAATGCAATTCAATAAATATGAGCAAGAAGTGAAGGAGATAAAATTAGGAACTAACTATATAGAATAAACTCCTATGAAAATGGGAATAGCTGGAGGCTCACTATAATTGATTCTGGAGCTGAGACACAAAGTCAAATGCCAGGGAGGTGGCTTTTCCTTTCTAAGGAGTAACTTGAAGGTTGTGTGAATCCTCTTTCAGTAGCATCACAGTCCATGCAATTCTACCCTTATTAGGAACTTTGTGAACCCTAGTAAAGATTTTGCTATAGGAAAGGCAACACAACTTAAATGAGAGACCTTAGCACAGTGAAAAGGCTCAGCTTAAACTGATAACTACTACAGCAAGAATCAGGGAGCTGAAATTTAAGCTCTCTTGACATATCAAATTACTCTGATTTCAATTTTAGAACTTTTATCAAAAACTAATATTGCTAGAATAAGGCCTATAAGGCCACGTGCTATTTGTCAAATACCATAGCAAGTGTGTTAATAAATATTATTTACTTTAAAGAATTTTATAAAGCCATGCATTATCCAAACAACTCACAGACAGAGAGAAGGCAGAGAACATGAAAGGATCTGAATAGCAAAGTCAACATAAATTTAGACAGTAATAAAATGAAAATGGTGAAACAGTGGCTTAATGTGATAGAAAGATGAAAAGAAATCTTGTCATCTCAAACATCTCTCTGAAAAATGCAAAACATTCTGCCTTTTTCAGAGCAGATATAGGTTTCTATGAGTTTCCAGAGCAATTTATGAATTGTGCCATAAATTGTACATGAAGTGTGAGCTGGTTACAAGATTTACAAGAGCAAAATGCTAATAGAAAATATAACTCATTTGTTTCACTCACCATATGACAAATTAGCGTATTTATTAGGTCTCCCAGCATAAGCACATAGAGCACTGAGCATGTGGAGCTTTATTAAGAGAACTCTGGGTGGTTTGACAGGGTATATGAATTAGTTTGCAGTTTATACTTCACCTTCTCATGGCCTTTTTGGTGTCCAGAATAATTTTGTTTTATTTGTGAGTTAATCTCATCCATACTTTATACTGAACTGATACTTAAGAATAATTGTTTTACTGACTCTTATGGTGCTACTTCAATAACTGCTCTGTTCTGTTGGTGATCTCACAGTTCACATTCATTCTACCCTCATACAGACTTTATTTCACCAACAGATAAAGTATATGTGCTTTCCATAGATCATTTGAAAGGGTACTTTCATAACATAAATTTGAAAATAATGTTACCCCATTCTTAATTATATTTGCTCCATTATTTAATTTCCAGATTAGCTGATAAAAAAAAAATCATCTGGTTCAATTACAAGCTTTTGGACAATAATAACTAAAACTAAAATTCCAGTTGAGTCAAAGACAGAGGGAAAGAAATTATGAAGAGCTGGGCGTTACAGGGTGACAGAATGGTGTAAATCCAGTTGGTCACAGAACTGATTCCTTGCAGGTTGCACAGTGTCAGAGAGAACACCTTGTGCTCCCTAATAAGCACCTGAACCTCACTCCAAACCTTCAAGCAAAACCTGGACATGGTATCCTGCCTTATCACATCCGAATCCTTTGTGCTTATACACAAATAATTAAATATGCAGCTCTAAAAAGGAGCAGCAATTGATACTCGGGGGGGGGGGTATTTGAAAGTAAAAAGGTATTACTGCATTTATTAGGTTAACTGATGATTTCTATCTCTATAAGAAGTTTCATTTTTCTTAATCTTACAATCCAAAATGTCAGTGTTTCTCATCTTAATATTTAGTTCATTATTTTGCAAGATATAAGAAAAACAGGAAATGCATGTGGTTTGAAAGAAATGTGGAAGAGGTTGCTCCTTTGTGCTGCTGAATTGGACCTTAGTTAATCTTCCTCCCAGTCTACTGTTGCTACTTCACTTCCCAAGTTTCTAAAATGAGACTGAGATGCTGAAGTTTACTATGGATGTGATCTACTATTCCAAATACTGTAAAATCTAAACTGCAGCTCTGGGATGGAAAATGAAATTGTTCTATGCTTTCTGTGATTGTTCTTAGTTAATGCACAGATGTTAAATTTGATGTGAGTTCATTTCAGGATTTTAACATTAATTTCAAGTCCCATCTCACAGGGGCATTATGTCCCTGTGAGATGGGACTAAGCTATTTTGGATAATAATTTCATTGTCTTCATTTTGTAGAAACATCTTTCTCCACAATATGTTTGGAATTATTTTAGAAATTGCATTTGTTCTGCATCTTCACCAGACATATTTAATTTCTTCTTTTCGACATGTTTATTATTTAATAGGATACATTAATTTTACTTTAGTAATTCATACTGTTTTTTCCACCAATCTAACTTACTGGGTTTGGTTGGTTTGGGCTTTTTTCCCCACTGTGCCTTCATACCACCAAACTGACTTGCTGTCAGACAG